ATCAACATAAAGTACTAAGTACAAATAACTTTTACCTCCTTTAGCTTTATAGTAGAGGCAAACATCATAATTGCTTCTTTAGAAACCATATTTCAAAACAAAGGTATCAAACCTTTAAACCATTGCCTCGGGGCTTGTTTCAGACCATAAAGTGATTTCTTTAACAAATATACAACATTTTTAGAATCACCTTTAATAAAACCAACAGGTTGTTTCATATAGATTTTTTCATCTAAATCATCATAGAGAAGCAGTTTTAACATCTAATTGATCAAGTTCTTATCTAAATTGAACGACAAGGGCAAGAATACACCTAATGGTGGTATATTTAACTACAAGGGAAATAAATTCCAGTATAGTCAACACCTTCTTTTTGTGTAAACTCTCTAGTTACAAGTTTAGCTTTATATCTAACATTTTTATTCCCCCTTCACCTTCTTTTATCTTATAAATCCACTTACAATCAATTAGCTTTTGGTCTTTAGGTCTTTTAACCAATTCTCAGGTTTTATTTTTAAGAAGAGAACTCATTTCATCATCCATAGCAGCTTTCCAAAGTTTAGAATCTTTACAATTAATGGCATCATCATATGAGTTAGATTCATTTTCACGAGTCTAACGGTATTGAGCGATATGATTAACTGTGTGGTACATTTTAGGTGATAACCGGCTCTCTAATTAAATGCACAACGTAATAATGCAATAGATGATTAATCAAGACCATTGGTATCATCATACGTCTAGGTAGCAGTGAACCTCCGATTACTTGTTTGACACATTTTAGATGACATTGTCCCTCGATTAATTGTTCAAAACAATAATGCATTAGATAAGTAACTAATATTGTCACCAATGGTAGCATCATGTTTCTAGGTTGCAGTGAACTCTCTAATTAAATGTTTGACGCATTTTAGGTAATCTAGGTTTGTGATTGGTTGTTTGACACAATAATGCATCGGATAATTAATTAGGATCCGCTGTATCATCACATGTATGGGTAGCAGTAAACCCCTAATTAATTGTATGGCGCATTTTAGGTGACAGTGAGCCCATTAATAGTTGTTCAACGCAATAATGCATTAGAAAGTAACCACGTCTATCACCAATGGTATGATCACACATTTAACTAGTAGTGAGTCTTTGATAATTCTTTGATGCATTTGGGTGATGGTCAACTTCGTGATTAACTGTGTGATATAACAATTCATCATATGAGTATAAGGTCTATCGTTAGCTGTATCATTACATGTCTATGTAGAAAGTGAGCTTGCTGATTAATTGCTCAATGCAATAATGCATAAGACCTCTTTTACTTAGATGCTTGGTGAATAGCATTATTCAGCGTCAAAATAGACCTTTCGTTTCGATCTGGTATTTTAATTTTCCTAAACCATTTTTTTTCTAAATCTAGGCAAATTATTACCTTGAATAATTCGCATATTGAAGGCAGATCTCTTTGATTAAAATTCATTTAGGAATATAAATTCAAAATAGCCTTATTTGGCTTTTTTCAATAAAATAAAATAATATATATATATAAACGAAAATGATTACCTACCACTCACAATGGGGATGTGGACCACATTGTCGAAATTTTTAAATACTTGCAGGCCCCGCGTATCATGTGAGATGAGGTAATTCATTAGGTACAAATGAAATAACCCTAACTAAAAATATGTCAATGGCATTTTCGTAATTTCACGTGACAAATGTTTCTTTATAACATCCCTATCTCACTCCCCGAAACTACTGTAGGCACACCGAACACCTACTCCCCCACTCACGCAAAACGCACTCGTTCGGTGTGTTTGTATACATACAGGCTGCGTACACGAGTATCTGTGACTGTCAGAGTTTGATGTGGTGAGATTGGTGACTGGTAGTGTTTGATATTTGGATTCTTCATACCCTATAAGGTAAGAATTTGAAACTGGTTTTAGCAATTTATGATCTTGAATTTGTGGTTTATGTTAAGGATTTATGTGATTTTTACTGATTTTTGTTTGCTTTAAGGTTTTGTGTTTCTGGATTTGAGTTTCAAGCAATTATTTTAATCATTTCTGCTTTTTTTTTTTTTTTTGAAGAGTTTATTCGATGATCAGAATTTAGATTTTTTTAAAAAAAATTCTGTATTAGAAAATTGACTTTGTGGGGTTAATAAGAGTAAAATGGTCAAGCTTAAGTTTTGCCTTTTGTTTTTGTTTTTGTTTTTGTGTTCTGATTTTTGCTCCTTAAAAGGATTAGGTTTTTGGAAGGATTTTTTCGAACTTAAAAAATGTTTGGAAATTTAAAGTTGATAAAGTTGTGTTTCAAAATCGTATTGCTTGCTTCTGGCATATGGAGTTTTTGAAAGGAAAGGTCAATTACATACAAGTAAGATTGATTGGATTACGATGACCCCTAACAAACAATTTAAAGAATTTTTTTTATAGCCAAATATAGACAGTTATTGATCAGTTATTTTATAATCGTTCATCATATATCTCGTTCTCTCAATTTTTGTGTTAATTGTCTATATGAACGATGCCACTAAATGGTAGTAATGTAGTCTGAATGTAGTGGAAATGTTGATTGATCCTTGTTAATCTCTTCTGTGCAGTTGATACAATTATGGTGAGGAAGAGGCCAACTGACCTTCCTGGTGGAAGTGAGAGCTCTGAGTCTCAACAAACTGGAGGAGGACGTGCAGGTGCCCAAAGACCACTTATACAACAGCAGCCACAGCATCCAGGCGGATATCAAGGTCGAGGTCGGGGAAGGGGATCCCACCGTGGAGGCCGTGGTGATGTAGGTGGTGGAATTTCCCGGCAGCAATACTACGGTGGACCTCCTGAATTTCAGCAGGGTCGGGGTGGTCATCACCAACAGCAGGGTGGACGCCGTGGTGGTCGTGGGCCTGGGACACCTGCTGGTGGCCCTTCTAGGCCACCAAATCCCGAGCTGCATCAAGCTACCAATGTTCCATATCAAACTGCAGTGACCCCTGAAGCAGTGCCATATGGCAGGCCTGGGCCACCAGCTCTGGAGCTGCATGAACACGTTCAGTCTCCATATCATTCTGATGTGACCATTCAGCCTGTGCCATATGGCAGTTCAACGGAGTCATATTCTGAGGCAGGCTCCTCATCCCAGCCACCTGAGCCAACACCTTCAGAAGTGACTGGGAAAATTCAGCAACTTGTGATTGAGCCAGAAGCAGCTCCAAGCGATCGAATGCAACCTGCGTCGAGCAAGTCAATGAGATTTCCTCGTCGGCCTGGAAAGGGAAGCTACGGTACCAAGTGTGTTGTGAAGGCCAACCACTTTTTCGTTGAGCTGCCCGACAAGGACTTGCATCAATATGATGTAAGTTATTCTATGCTACTGCATCTATCGAATTTCCTTGATTACTTAACATCATTAGTTGTTCTGTATGCAATAGGTAACAATGACACCTGAAGTTACATCCCGTGGTGTTAATCGTGCTGTGATGGGGCAGTTAGTGAGGCTATATAGGGAATCTCATCTTGGAAAGAGGCTTCCAGCTTATGATGGTAGAAAGAGTCTTTACACTGCTGGGCCTCTCCCTTTTGTCTCAAAAGAGTTCAAAGTCCCTCTTATTGATGAGGAAGATGGTCCAGCCGGTACCAGGTTTCCTTCTTTGTTTTCTTTAGCTGTTGTTCACTCCTTTGCTGGCAAATGATATTTTTCCTTCAGTAACTATTAGGCTGCGAGTTCTTATTTTTTAATTGTATGTAGGCGAGAGAGGGAGTTCAGGGTTGCAATCAAGTTGGCTGCACGTGCTGACTTGCACCATTTAGGGATGTTTTTACAAGGCAGGCAGGCCGATGCCCCTCAAGAAGCTCTGCAGGTTTTGGACATTGTTCTGCGTGAATTACCAACATCTCGGTATACATGCTGACATTTTTTATCTTATCAGTATTACTTTTTTTAAATACTTTTGCTGATTTTTCTATTGGATGCAGGTATTGTCCGGTTGGTCGCTCATTCTATTCCCCTGATTTAGGTAGAAGGCCTCTTGGTGAAGGGCTTGAAAGTTGGCGTGGTTTCTACCAAAGTATTCGCCCCACTCAGATGGGATTGTCATTGAATATTGGTGATTAAGTCTTTCATTGGTTCTCTTATACTTATTTTATTAGTTAGAAATCATCGTTGCCATTTGAAATAAATTTCGGGCTATTTGCTTCTGATAGAACTACTCGCTATCTTCTTCCTTGAAACTGCTTTGACATATCAATTACCATCATCTCTTTCTTCTTTCATTTTCAGACATGTCATCAACTGCTTTCATTGAGCCACTCCCGGTGATCGACTTTGTCACGCAGCTTCTCAATAAGGATGTCTCTAGACCATTGTCTGATGCTGATCGTGTGAAGGTTATATACTCTCTCTTTTTACATATATTTTTTCGTAAGGCATCTTTGATGTACGGTTGTGAGAAGGCTAAATTGGATGCTCCTTTGTCAACGATGCAAAAGGCAGAAAAAGGAAAATAAAAGAACTCGTACAACGTTCTAGTATATTAATAAAAGCCTAAAAGCTCGAGATCAACAATAAAATGCTTAGAACAAGGCTAAAAATTGAGCAAACACCTTAGTTGCCCCTAGGCTTCGCGTTGAGGCATAAGCCTCAGTAAATCAACGCATAAAAATGACACTTGATACGTTTAATGAAAGCCTCATGTTAGGCACGAATCAAGGCTTATGCCTCATAGTTTTTTCAAGCAATGTGCAGTAGAGTTCCCAATTGTTTCGAGGTCTCATTCTGTAAATTTCAGATATTTTACGAATTTTATGCTCAGTTTCCTCTACTCTGGGATAGGCCAGCTTGATGCTCAATGATTTGGTGTACCATTTTAGGGTTGAGGCCGATAGAATATCTGCTGGAGATTGTGAGGTTCCAGACTTATCTAGAAATCAATTATTACTGCTAGTCTTGGGATTAATTATTATAAATTTTGTTAATTTTGTTGATAGGATTTCTATTGCTATTAGGAGTATATTATTAATTTTCTTCTTGTTTTAGGTGGTTAATTTCTTTTTTATGATGCACCGACACGGGATACGCCATCGACACGTGATTTTTCAAAAAAGTATTGTTATTACACCGTCGACACGTTTATTAAATTCTTTAAAATTCTTCATTTATATATTATATAAATTTAGTTTTGTATTTGTTATTAATTTTATAATTGAAATCTTTTAAATATGAGTATATATGTGTTATTTACTAATAACTTTGAATAAAAATATAAAAGATTTCTAATAAAAAAAATGATTATGGTAGAGTATCTGAGAAGTATCGTATCGACATATGTCCAACACATGTTGGACACAGACACACTACTCTAGTTTAAGTATCCATGAAACAGTTGCTTTTTCTTAGCGTAATAGGATTTGGAGATTAGCTCTTCTTCCAATTTCTATATAAGAAGAGGGCTGCTGTAATGATAATCAAATTCATTACATTCATGTTACTTTTTTTAAAGATTATTAAGCTTTTATCTTATTTTCACATTTTGTTGTTGCACCAGTTAGCAAAGCTAGATTCTCGTAGTGAATAGTGACTTTTAAAGTTGAAGTGTTGTAGTAGCACCAAAACCTCTTTGTTATTCTAAGCCATGTTGAAGTCTGGAAATGGTGGACATATATCTTGCCAATGAGGGAACCCTACAGATATGCTTCGAGGAAAGCTTAGAATCATAGGAAAGGGAGTAAGGGTAAGGTAGCTCACTATTTTCTAGATTCATGAACACAATTCAATTTGGTGGGACATACATTCATATTTTTTTCCACCACCAATGTTTTCTAAAACTGTGACCCTAAATTTAGAGTATCCTACTTTCATGCAACTCACTAGAGTGACTTGTGATCTACAGTGATTATTTGGGAATACTCGAGTTATACCTGTAGCTATGAGTACTATAGCTGGTCTGATGAGCTGAATGGAAGTTATTGCTCCAATAAGAAATAAATTACATTGTTTTATGAAGTTGCTTATCCAGAACAATAAAGAAATAGAGGCTAAAGTTTTGCAAAATAATGAAAGCTGGTTAAAGAAACTTGGTTAACAAAACTACGGTGTAAGAAACCTCTTGTCCATCTAGTTAATACAAATTTGTTTCTTCTAAGACAATGACTTCTCCTCAAACTCAATTTAATTGCTGGAATTCCAGATCAAGAAGGCACTGAGAGGAATAAAGGTGGAGGTTACTCATCGAGGAAATATGCGCAGGAAATACCGCATCTCTGGTTTGACTTCACAAGCAACACGAGAGTTGGCGTAAGGATAACAGTTAGATTTTCATTATTGTTATAACTTCAGAGAAGACATAATTAATTGAGCATTAAACTTGTATTGGAATCTCTTTAAGGATCTGCAGCTTTGCAATTTGATATTGTCGTATGACATTCCGAATTTCCTTTGCTTTTCTCGTGGCATTATTACTGGCTGCATTTGAAAATTGTTAGATCATATTATTTTAATATCATTTAGAAGGACCTGTTGCATTTCTTTTCTGAAATCTTAATTGTGGTTTTCATTAGATTTCCGGTTGATGAAAGGGGTACAATGAAATCTGTGGTTGAATACTTCAGAGAGACCTATGGGTTTTTCATTCAACATACTCAGTGGCCTTGTCTGCAAGTTGGAAATCAGCAAAAGGCAAATTATTTACCAATGGAGGTCAGGCTACTTTCCCTTGTAATTAATTGTTGTTAGCAATATATATCTTCAGATTAGGGTACTGAAATGTTGTTAATATCCAGGTCTGCAAGATTGTAGAGGGCCAAAGGTACTCTAAGAGGTTGAATGATAGACAGATCAGTGCACTTCTGAAGGTCACATGTCAGCGTCCCCGTGACAGGGAATATGATATTCTTCAGGTATCTATGGCATTTTACAAGAATTTAATTTTATATTCGATAGGCCTCCTATCAGTTATACCTATGCTAGAAGAAACAAGGTTTGAGAAGAAACTAGGAGGGGCAGCAACAGAAATCTGTTACAAGGGCAAGTGGGGGGGAATTAGTTAGGAAATCCTTATAAATAGAGGTAGAAGGGAGGGTAGAAAGCAGGCTTTTAGTGATTAGAAGGGAGACCTTTAGGAGAGTTTTAGCCTTCTCAAATGGCTATTTGTTATTTCCTTTCTTGCTGTAATTTCTTTAGTTCAATAAATATATTGTTGTTCCTTTGAGTCTTACAGAAATCTGCCCTTTTTCCAATTAGAACCTTACCAATATTTTCTTTGCTGTAGCCACTAGCCACTTTTGATGTATGGATTAGCTCCTATTTGACGCACATTCTTTCAAAATACATTATTTTCAAGTTTATCAGGAAATAAAATTATCTTTTCAGAAATATGAGGTTGCAATTTTATTCCATCACTATTTATTATCATTCCTAAAAATTCATTTAAAAATACATTCTTCCAAAACTCATTTTCAACCACACATTCTTCAATAAAATAATATTTTACATCACATCAATAATTTTTACTTACTTTTTAACCACATATTTCCCATCATATCACTATTTAAAATACATTCTTTCCTCGATAATATCCATCAAACACACCCTTAATAGCTTGAAAAAAGTGTTGATGGTACCAAGAGCTTTTTAGTGTTTCTTGTGGCAGCATCCAGTTATAGAGAAGAATGTAGAGTTATAATGCATCAACTTTTAACATCTCTGCTCCTGCTTGATTTTATCTTATGTGCTGTTAATGTTTATGATGATAATTTTATTAGCATGTGTAAGTGTACACACGTTTTGCTTTGTGATTCTGTGTAGTTTATGTTTCTATCTAAGGAACTCAGTCTTGGTATCCTATTCCTTATTGTATTCGGATTTTGATCTGTGTAGTTTATTTTTAAATATTCTGCAAGTAATGGCCACATTTTTCTATGTCAGACTGTACACCATAATGCTTATGCGGAGGATTCTTACGCCAAGGAATTTGGAATTAAAATTAGTGAGAGCCTGACTAAAGTTGAAGCTCGCATTCTACCTGCTCCCTGGGTAATTAAAAAACTTCGATTACAAGTCATCCTGAATTAGTGTCGTTTTATTCTTAAGTTAACTGCATGTTATATGTTGTTTTTATAGCTCAAATATCATGATTCGGGTCGGGAGAAGGATTGTCTGCCTCAAGTTGGGCAGTGGAATATGATGAACAAGGTGATTTCAATTTCATAAATAGATATGTTAGGTGGGAAGAATTGTTGTTTATATATGCTGAATTCTTGTTAATTTTTGAAATTGTAATGGGTGATATTCACATACACCTTTGAACTGTAATGGTTCTTCTCTCTGTCCCTTTGAACTGTTATCCACCTTGCCCTATATGTGCGGTAGCTGAAATTACAACCTATAATCTCTTCCATAAACACAGAAGAAAATCTTCAAAATTTTACATGAGTTTAGCATATTTTTGGATAGTATTTCTTGGTAATTGATTGGAGTCCCTATTTTGGTGACTGAAATTGCTGAAAGAATTTATTATTTGATTGATATCTTGCAGAAAATGGTTAATGGTGGCAAAGTCAACAATTGGATCTGTATTAACTTTGCCCGCAATGTGGCAGAGAATGTGGCTCGTAACTTTTGTAATGAGCTTGCTCAAATGTGTGTTACTTCTGGCATGGTAATGTCATTTGGCTCTTATTACTATTATTATTATTTTTTTAATTTTAATTTTAATTTTAATTTTTTTAATTTTTTTTTAATTTTAATTTTAATTTTACTGTCTTATTTCTCTTCTGATTTACGTTTATCTTTACAGACCTTTAGTCCGGAGCCTGTAATCCCTGTTACAAGTGCCCACCCCGATCAGGTGGAAAAAGTCTTAAAAGCTATGTATCATGAAGTCGTGACAAAACTGCAGCCCCAAGGGAGGGAGCTTGACTTGTTGATAGTTATATTACCAGATAATAATGGCTCTCTTTATGGTACAAGTGGACAGATTTTTGGCAGTACAGTTCTTATAGAAGTCGTGAATCTGGATTATGATTTGATGCTTATGTCATGTTTCCATAGGTGATCTGAAGCGTATATGTGAGACAGATCTTGGCATTGTCTCCCAGTGCTGTCTGCAGAAGCATGTCTTCAGGGTTAACAGACAGTATGTTGCCAACGTGGCTCTGAAGATTAATGTGAAGGTGGGAGGGAGTAACACTGCACTTGTTGATGCACTCAATTGGAAGATACCATTTGTCAGCGATAAGCCTACTATTATATTTGGTGCCGACGTCACACATCCCCACCCGGGCGAGGATTCTAGCCCATCTATTGCTGCTGTAGGGCGCTCTTTTTTACAGACTTAGCTTAATATGTGTTGCTCCTATTCTATGTCCTCCCTCTGTTGAAGTCGCTTACTGTTGCTGGAATTTCTTTTCAGGTTGTTGCTTCCATGGATTTGCAAATCACAAAATATGCTGGTTTGGTTTCTGCTCAAGCCCATAGACAAGAGCTCATTCAAGATTTGTATAAAACCTGGGAAGATCCTGTTAGAGGGACTGTGACAGGCGGCATGATAAAGTATGATTTCTCACTGAAAAGAAAAGTTCATTCCCTTGATTTTATTTTTCTTCTTGTGAATAGTGTGAGTTGCTATTTATGATTACTGGAAAACCATAATATAACAATTTTGTGCTTTTACCATTCAGGGAACTTCTTGTTTCTTTCTACAAAGCAACTAGACACAAACCACAGAGAATTATTTTCTATAGGTATAGTAACTTTGCTTTCGGTCTTGCTATGTGTCTCTTCTACTGCACTCTCTTTTTCCCCTTTTCTTTCCTCACTTCATGCTCTATCCACAGGGATGGAGTCAGTGAAGGGCAGTTTTATCAAGTATTGCTTTATGAACTTGATGCTATTCGTAAGGTAATTAGCTTTTAGATTTCTAGCAGTGTTGTTGGCTGTCTATCTTAGAATTGATTTGCGGTTTCTAATTTATATGACAAAAACCTAATTTCTTTATTTTTTATTTTCTACCTTCTTTTGACGTAATTAAGGCATGTGCATCTTTGGGACCCAACTATCATCCCGAAGTTACATTTGTTGTGGTTCAAAAACGTCATCATACTAGATTGTTTGCCAATAACCATAATGACAAGCATGCAGTTGACCGCAGTGGAAATATACTGCCTGGTACTTTACTTGATTGTCCTCAGCTCTCTTTATGTACTGGAGTAACTTCAAAAATGTTGATTCCCCTTTCTTATTTATATTTATTTTACAGGCACCGTCGTAGATTCAAAGATCTGCCACCCCACTGAGTTTGACTTCTATCTCTGTAGCCATGCTGGGATACAGGTACCCTCATACCTTCACTTAATGTGGATATAGAACGCTGCATCCTTCGTGCATTGTTTATTTGATCAATCTGATTGCAGGGTACTAGCAGGCCAGCACATTACCATGTCTTATGGGACGAAAACAATTTCACAGCAGATGCTCTTCAGTCTCTAACCAATAACCTTTGCTACACGTAAGTGCCCTGTCCCCTGCACGTTTTTTCCCCCCTTGTGAATTCTTCTGGTGTACTTGCTAAATTGCTTTTCTCTTCAACTTGCAGATATGCACGGTGCACGCGGTCTGTTTCCATTGGTATGTTTCTTTCTTGCATCGTGTATTAGCTTTTAACTTTATACTTGGTAAATATAAGGAGCTTATCTTGATACTCATTCTTATATTTTCTGCAGTACCTCCCGCGTACTATGCACATTTGGCTGCTTTTCGTGCTCGCTTTTACATGGAGCAGGAGACAGCTGATGGCGCATCAATGGCAAGCGGTGCTGGTGCAGCTGCAAGGAATACTCGGGGTCCAGCTGCCAATGTTGCCGTGAGACCCCTCCCTCAGCTAAGGGAGAATGTGAAGAGGGTTATGTTCTATTGTTGAGAGAAGGGTTATGTCCTATTGTTGAGAGTCATCTCTTAAGAATTGAGAATAATTTTATTACATTGTTGTCAAGTTTGTCTTATTTGGAGTCCAACTGAAACTTTTAAACTTTAAATGTTCTATCTTTTGTCGAACTGAATTGATTGAAATAAATTGAGATTTGCTCGGTGCGATCTTATTTGCCCAAAAGGCTGTGTACCCACGGGACTCGGCCAATAGGCTTTGATTTAAACAAGTCATTGCATCATGTAGTTCTTGGGGAAGGAGTTGAAGTGAATCCGTTGAGAGCATTCATGATCAAGAAAAGGGGGAAGGGAGTAAGAAAGTCGGGAGTAACAATCATCACAAAAATGAGGTAACTGCATTAGTTGCAGCAAAAATGGAATGTGAACGTTACAAAAAGGTCTGAAGTTTAAACATTCAACTGCAGTCTGCAAATTGGAAAGACAGAAATCTCGAGAAAATAATTCAAAATCGAAATCTCGTCGACAACGCCACTTATGAACTGATAACTGAAAACAAACGATGCAGGAACTTGCACAATTGGCAGCTGTCCTCTTATCACCCTTTTCATCGTATAATCAACTGGCTCTGGCGTCTAAAATTAATGTCTACAAACAGGTTAAAGTTAAGAATGACGCATCTAGCCAAACAGGGCACCAAATCCATTAGCTCAAGCACGATGGCATATCATTCTTGTTGAGAATCATAGATTTCCAGACACTGCAAGAATAAATAGTTTATGCAGGTAAAAGAGTTGAGAAAAAGTCTGAACCTTCCCTTTGTTTTATACTGTTTATGTCGCAGGGCAATTGTACCAGAGGGTGCTATGAGTAAACACGAGCTCGTTGACCTGCCCGCTCCTCTAAAACAGAGATTGATGAGTTCATGTCTCTCTGCTAGACATCGTTTGTAGGGCATAAAACCTTCTTTGTATTTTTCTTTACGTTTTGACTCGATGGAATCACATTCTCTGCTTTCGCTATTAACTTCAATAATCGACCTGCCATCATAATCAGCCAAAGTTCTTTTCATTAGAAGCTCTTCGTTCTTTAGCTCTCAATACAAGGGAGAATCCACAGCATTCTCTGCAGCTATTGGGATGCAAGAAGAGACATAGGGGTACACGAGACCTTTGTAATAAACCCACAAAGGAGGACTAGAATATTTCTCCGTATTGCAGCACATGTTGCTCAATGAATGCTGCGGTAACCTGCAAGGAGGAGTTACACTGGTAGAAACAATTCCAAAAGCAACCTGTGAATATAAGTTGTTCGATGTAAACCCGTGAATAGGCTTTTCGCTATTAAAGTCGGAGTTCTCATCAATGGCATAGGGTGGAAACGATTTAGAGTTTTCCTCAACTACTAAAGACTGTTTCGGAGTATGTCTTACCACAACTGTCTTTCCAAATAACTTAATACTTGCATGAGGTTCTCTGGTGGCTGGATGCTCAATGGAACATGCGGTGTCTTGAGAAAACAATTCAAATTTCTGCACAGAGATTGAGATGAAAATGAGAATTAAAATTAACTGAAGTTTTCATTGACGAGTAAATGGGAAGGGATAAAAATGCAGGTTACCGTGGTGGATTTATTATCTGGTACTGAAGCAGAAGATATTTGGAATGATAAATTAACATCCTTATCTTCTTCTGCAGCTAAGCTGAATTTCACATATTCATTATCATTTTCCGTAGATAATAAGTTAGAATGTGCGTCTGTAGCACATGAAGCTTGAGAGAGACGAGATGTATGCACCTCAGCAGATTCAAAAGCATCAGAACGAATTACTGATAAAACCGAGGTTGGAGAGAGAGTATCTCTTTCAGTAGCCGGTGTGTGCGGTACAGGTGTTATTTCAGGTTGATATGAAACCATTGATTCTGTTTTAGATGGAACAACTATTTTACGAGGGTAAGGATGGAGAGGTTTCTTCTTTGGCCGAGGAGGTGGAATCTCAATTGGATTAACAGATCCCTCAGCATCATTACTTGAATCCTTATTGACCTGGAATTGAAGAAATATTTTAGATAATGAGCAAATCTACTACAAATCTTTATGTACGGTTAGTACAGACTAGTCCTTAATGAATTAAGGCCAACCTTTGCAAAGAACTTTTGGGCATGACTTCGGATTTGGATTGCAGTTTTAGAGCCCACAAATTCTGCACAAGACGAAATCTTTAAAGCATTAATCAACAGCATTAAGAGAATATATAACAAGCAGATGAATTCCTTTTGTTGGAACTGAACAAACCTAAATTCAAACTCACCTTCAATTTGGCGCCAAGCACGGCCATAAAGCTCAAGAGCTTTGATGAACTTTTGATGTTCTTCCTCCGTCCATCTTTCTCTCTGTTTGGTAATGGTGTAAGGTTTCCTCACCTAATATAGAGAACAAGACATCTAATTACGTGGCGTTGGTGAATAACTCGGATCGAAATAAGTGACAAAGTCATGAAAGGTGATTAAACCTTCCGCAGATAGCCATTTCCATTAGCAGCCAAACTATTTTGTGTTTCCAAAGCTTCCTGGCTAGTAATTCCACCTTTATCCTGTTTAATTTAGATCAGAATAATATGAGAAAATTTTAAACTGAGCTTGACCAAAATGCAAATCCCTGTCCTATTCACCCTCCCTGTTAAACGAATTCCGCCAAGTAAAAACCTCGACTCCACAACTCTATTGGACATGGAATCAATTGATTGGAGGGGCATATCAAAACCTTTTGAAAAACCATTCAAGATTTCCAGATCAATTTCCTAAAATGAGATAGGGATATCGATTAAGGGCTTATAACTAAACTAGAGTTCTTATTATCCATAACCCAGGAAAGGACAAACATTTCCAAGTTTTCACTAAAAAGTATATACATTTTACATCCTGTCCTAAAACTCGAAAGACTAGATACATAAACTTGTTTGAATATATGATGATATGTTCGTTTTAACGGTCCAATTCCTTAACACAGACTTCAAAATACTTATCTGTGAGTTGTGGTTCTTTATAATCACGACTTCTTAAGTGGAAATGCATTTTTTGGGATTCACCTGGACCGTTGATCTTGATCTTGATCCATGGCTGAGGATAAGGGTATAAAAGACCCTTTTGGTCACTGTACAGTCACAATAATTCTATTCCTCTTTGGGCCTTCGTCTGTTCTCTTTTTTTTCTTCTGGCTGAGGCGATTTGCAGTGTTCTTCGAGAGTTTCTATTCTGTTCTTGAAGTGTAATTAGTCTGCTGTTGTTGTCTAGTTTAATCAGTACTGAGCCTTTTTGATTGAGTGATTTGTGTAGTTGATTACAGTGTTTTAGGTTTAATTAGAGTTTCATTAGAACTCCAATTAAACTGGTAAATCTGTAGTTATTGTGAAGGCAGTGAAGTGTCTGATTGTGTGTAGATTAATAGGGAGATCCGTGGTGGATCGATGATTATTTAGAGGCAGTCCGGTTCTGAGTCTTGGTTGTAAACTCTTGTAAATCTCTCTCTTGGAAGGTTCTTTGCATAGTGACGAACTCAAGTTACCTCTGAGCCCCCCAGATTACGCATTGCCAAACTGGGTGAACATTTCTTGGCTCTTGCATTATTTTCGTATTTGCAGTTTCTTTGTTTTTGACTGTTGATTCAGTTTGTGCATTTCTTGGGTGATTCGAACCCAACATTATCAAATGAATCCAAAAATTGATTTATCAGATTGACACCAATAGCATTGCAAATTTAGCTTCTTTTATGCATAAATAATTTAGCATCAAATACAGAACCAAATACAGAAATACCCTTCCTTGCCATTTCAAAACTATGAGATTTAAATCTAAGTTCTTCAGTTTAAATGTTTCCAGATGTTAATTGTTCAACAGTCAGCATATTAACCACACACTACAGCAAAAGCAAAATATGCATAGTTTTGCTAGAAAATACTTACCTGAGATTCAGCAACCATAGCTCCAAGAATTACAGAACCCAAAAAAAATGAGCAAAAAAAAAAAAGAAGAAGTAAAAATCAATGAAACAAGAAAGAGGGCTGAGTTGTATTTCTCTCAAGATTATGAAACAGCTCATAGAAGAGTGAAAAGAGAGAAAATCTTGAGAAAACAAAATGCAACAGAGATCAAAAATAAAGGTTAGTAGTGCATAAATACAGAAGAAAATCAAGAAAAGGAGAACAGAGGTTGCCACGTTGGATTTTATTGCAATAAAATAGTATTAAGAGAATTCGAGAAGCCGAGAAGGTGTCAAGTGTGGCATCGTGGTTTTGGGAAGTTCGTGTGAGTTTGTGGCTGAAAAGGTGTCAATGACACGTGTCATAATATCTATGTCTCTTTCTCTCTCTTAGTCTTGATCTTGATGGGGAAGAGCCCTTCTTGTTAGCTGTTTTGTGGAAGAAATTCAATCCAATTATGCTGTGCCCCTGTTTGACACCCATTTGGAGAAAAAATAAATTCTAGAATAGTGATTGATGGAATAATGTGTGGTTGAAAAGTAATGAAAAGTTTTAGATTTGTGTGTAATATTATTTTATTTGAAAAATGTATGGTTGAAATAAAGAAAGAGAAAAAAAAAATGAGAATGAGTGTTAAACTGATGGAATAATGTGTGGTTGAAAAGTAATGAGAATTTTTGGGTTTATGTGTAGTATTATTTTATTGATAAAATGTGTGGTTGAAATGAAGAAAGAGAAAAAAAATGAGAATGAGAATGAGAAAAAAATGGGTTTCAAACGGGGGCGTGTGTATATAAAAGAGTGTCTGTGGCTCCCATCCCACGTGAGGGAAATGACACTTTTATGTACAAAAATTATGTACGCCAAACAAGGTCCCTAAAGTTTTGTGTTATTTTATTACTGGTTGCTTAAAAACAGTTTATTAGGAGAAAGTATAAACAATCAAACTGCAATATCAAAGTGAAAAATCCTTGATTTGGATCTTCGTGAATTCAGCAACGTTTCAATATTGAACAGAATCAAACAATTAAAGATAATTCAATTTAGAGTTTGATAGT